CCTATTGGCTGGGAGGAAGTGTGGGGTGTGGTTGGGGGAGGTATCGGGGCGGGATCAGGCTCTGCCTTGGGATCTAGCTTCTGCACTGAGGCCTGCAGGAGAGATGGGGACAGGTAGAGGCTGCTAGATGCCTTGGGGAAGGACCTGCCTAAGGTTCAGTGTTTCAAAGCATCTCCCTGGCCCATGTTCCACACAGGTCCCGGTGAATAACCAGGCTGGCCCCTACAGTGTTAGGAAGCGAGCTGCCCTGGGAGGGGCTTCAAGCTGTCTGGGATAGAGGCTGCTCCATGGGGAGGTCATCTCTGCCTCTCCCCGACTCTTTGGTGTGTTTTCCTGATGGTGCAGTGTCTAGAGGGGACCCTGTTCTGTCTCGTGCTGCCTCAGGCTCCGGTGTCTTGCCCAGTCTCTTCTCTCCTCTCGATCTCACTGACTTTTCTCGGGGTTTGGCCCCTGCTTTGTGGCTCCCGGTTCCCAGCTCTCACTATCATCACTGGTGCTAGCTGGTGAGAGTCAGCCTTAGCTGGGTACACACCCCTGCACTGCAGGCTGTGTGGCATGACTGGGCAGGGCCATTGCAGGTCAGGCGCTGGCTGTGATAGGGGTGAGGGGAGACTTATATGCTTGGGATATGCTGGGTTGGCACCCTGAGCAATGGGGGGGGGTCATGGCCCTGCTGGCCAAGAGCCAGCTGCTGAGTGGGGAGCTGTGGGAGTGGAAGCGCGGGCTTGCTGTGGATTTGGTTGCTGATGCTCTTGTGCTCTGTCGTTGGCTGAGATGGCCCCAGCGCTACGCACTCACTGACTGAATGGCTCATCAGGACCTTGTTTGATCCCCACATGAGAGCTTCTGAGAACAACTTATTTTGGAGCCTGTGGGGGAGTCTGAGAGTCAGCGAATGGCAGGTTAATACAGGAGGGGCGGGGGCAGCTGAGCCAGCAGCCGAGATCTTAGCACAACTACCTTTGAGCGTCTAATTGAGAGCGACTGCTCCCAGAGACACGGCCGCCACGGACAGTGCCAAAAACCACGCTGAGAGCAGAGCAGGGACAAGCTGTCATGCTGGGCCAGGCTGGGGAACACAGAGGGCTCAAGGGCAGGGGAAACCAAAGTCTCCAGACAGCCCATGGCCCGCAGTCCAGGAGGCTCTGCTTTGCTAGGAGGGTGGATACAAAGGCACTTGCATGGGGAGGCAGCACAGAGCCTCTAACTCTGCCTGGTTTCTAGAGGAAAACCCAGGCCTGGAGGGTTTGCCCAGTGTACCCCTAGTACACTAGTTTGCAGAAGTACCCCTAGTACCTACAGTTTTCTGGCGCACACAGGTTTTTTTCTACCATTGCAACGCATTTGTTTAAACAACTTAATCGTAGCCAGGCAGGTGATGAAATTTTTGGATATAAAAAGTACAAAAATAATAAAGTGCTGTAAAACTTAGAACAAAAATTCAGTTTTTCCAAATTTCAGTTGTCTTGGCGTACCCCTCAGACTTCTCTCGAGTACCCCTAAGGGTACTCGTACCACTGGTTGAGAAACACTGTCCCAGGTTATGGGAGCCGTCCCTCCAGCTGCCCCTTGTGGGGGGTTGGGTGTCAGGAGTTCCTCCCCTGCTGCCTGCCTGTCCTCTCTCCCCTTGGGGCCTGAGGGAAAGTGACCCATGGAGCCCATCGCTATGGAAACGTTGACCTAGCTGTTGGGGGCTGCAGATGTGTTCTCAATATGGCTGACCCACTGGGACCAGTGGAGGGGAAGTGATGCCTCACGAGAATGCACAGCACTCCTCCCTCCTCCCTATGGCCTGTTGGTGACTCAGTGCAGCAGGACTGCCAACACAAACACACAACCAGGGGGACGTGCACAACACACCTTTAAACCAGGGATCATATGCTCAGGATTGATATAAACATGCCCCGTAGGCATACAAGCCAAATCCGGGAAATACAGACACACACACACACGCACGCTATACACCCCAACAACAGGATCCCACACACACTGACACACTCCACCCAAGGGATCACACACAACTAACTTGAGATTACAAGTTTGGTTAAGAAAGGTAACAGTGTGGATGTACATGCTTACACTTCTGCAAGGCCCTGCACAACATGTTGCTTAAAAACATAGAACAATATAAACTAAGCATGGCACACGTTGCTGGAGTGGACAGCACTCTGTTGGAGGGAGAGCTCCTTCTGCTGTCATAGCTACCACTGCTGGTTGTGGTGGGTTAATTATGCCCAAGGGATTGCTCTCTCCTGCCAGCATACAGCAGCTATATAGGAGTTCTTGTAGAATCCCTCTGTGTAATTCAAAAGCTTGTCTCTCTGTCTCCAACAGTCAGTGGTCTAATTAAAATATTTTATCTCACCTGCATTATCTCTCTTAACTATCTGGATTAACTTAGTCCAGGCCTACGTTACAGTACTATATTGGTATTGCTACATCGTTTAGGGGTGTGAAAAATCCACACCCCAGGCAGTGTACTTATACTGACTTAGTGCTGTCCGCATGGGAAGTTATGTGGATGGGAGGGCTTCTTGCATTAACATAGTTATTGCCTCTCAGGGAAGTGGAGTAACTATGCCACTGAGAGAAGCTCTTTTATTGGAATAGGAGCTTCTTCACGTGAGTGCTAACGCAGTGCAGCTGCACCAATGCAATGTTTTAAGTGTAGACCTGCCCTTAGTATCATCTGTAAATTTTGCCACTTTGTTGTTTACCCCTTTTTTCTAGATTGTTTGTGGATGTGTTGAACCTCACTGGTCCCCATACAGATCCT